TTCACTCCCTCCTACTAATTTTGCGGAATTGGCCCGTGGGATTGATAATTCTCCAATGCAATATAGTAATGCCGTTCATTCTGTTGCCGGGACGAGTCCCGCGCCTCTATTTACATCTCGTTCGTTGCGTACAGTTCTTGACTATGCAAAAGCGGCCGATGTTTTTAGGAGTGATGATTTGCAACCTGCTGCAGGAACAGTAATTTCATCAACTGGCCAACGGATGGTCACAATTCTCGATTTGGATGACCTCTCTTCTCATCGGAGACATATTGGTCAGTTTGAGTTCAGCACCAGAGATCAGCCTGGCAACGACGTTCCTGCCGACTCAAATACTGACGAGTCCTTTGTAGATGATCTTATAGTGTCCAAACAAAACGCTATCTCTGAAGAGCACACTACCTGTGAAGAAGCTGAAGTTTCCATTCGAAGAAGGCGCGAAAGATTGCGATCAAGACCACCACTAGACTATTAATGTTCACACACTCATTCAAGGTGTGGCGGATGTGATTAAATCGATTGATACTCTATTCGTTGCTCTACACATTATTTTCTCGTTTGAATATTCCATGTGCTGTACATATACACCAATTCGAACACGTACGTGCTGCTTCTTGCGCTGCGCTGAATTCTGGATTTCAAGTCCGTCTGTTATACTGAAATACGTGCGGAAATTTATTCTTACACTAATTCATCCGCTACAAACAGCTGCAATTCACATGACGGCATCCCATGGTTCAGCTGGGCACCGCAGATGTGGAATTCTTTTTCGGTTAGCCGTTAGTCAACAGAAACTCTGGCGTACGAACACTTAGTCACCCTGTGATCATGTCCGAGATGATAAGAGGTAGCCGCTGAAGGGTTTCTGTGCCTCGCCTGCTCTTGTCACTGGGAGGTGTAAGCATCTTATAATCTTCTTCTACTGCCTCGACTTCTGCTTGGTACCAGAGGTCACCTGTTACATCGTTAATATACTCAATTGTGAGTAAACACAGCGTTCGTACATTTTATCCGCTGCGTGCAAAATGCCACGCAATTATTGTGCACGCATTAATTGAACGTCTAAAATGCCATGAAGAATGAGAACCGGACAGCGGCCAGTTTTTCAAAAAAAGAACCAAGAAAACAGCTTTCTGAATCATAGCACAGCAATCGTGAAATTAAATACGCGCCAGAAATTATGAAGGGAAGTTAACCAAATATATTAAAACAAAAGAAAGTCAAGCTTTGGTGGCATTTGTTTGAGCATACGTACAGAGAAGCAGAACATTGTAAAGGCAACAGTTTTCCTCTGACCCTACGGTTTTGGAGAAAATACCATACATGTGGTCGCGATCAACTGCTTGTCTAGTAGACAAACCTGTTTAAATGCGCGGGTTTTCCAGCTTGTAGGGAGCTAGCCAATCAACCGCTGATTTGTGAGTGAATCGCATGCCCTCCAGACAGGGGTTGCCCAAAACCCAAACCCAAAAGTGCACGCCGAAGGTCAGTCCAATAGCCCGGATTTTCATGAGCCTAAGGCTTAGTACACAAGATCAAGGCTCCCATGCAAGCTTTCCGCGTCGGGTTCATTTCTGAGCCGATCCTTATTCGGCATGCGAGATTTTATATACACAGTTGTGTGGGAAAACATTTGCGGTGAAATGTAGCATTTCTCTGCCCATGTGCTCGGAATGATATAAATGTACGTGAGCTACGTTCATTTAGCTGTCCGCTATTGTCGACGCGGATTACATCTCATCAGTTAACCGGGCATCCTGGCCCTCTAGTCACCTGTTAATCGAGCCAGTCATCTAGCTTCTCATTCCTGCATTGCGCGAGCAACGGAAGTCTCATTGAACATTTTCAACTGCGATTTGTGAGCTTCTTGATCTAGGATTGTGGTGTAATAATATTCTCAGCCTTAAATAGCAGGAAGCCTGCTATTTTTCACTTTTTAATAGAGAACTCTGCTGCCAGTTAAGAGGACCTGAATATATGATAATCCCTTCACCCACATACATGACTGCACAACTCACCTCCGCTCACTGGATCACGATAACTGTCTTTTTCTTCACACTCACAAACCACGCTACGCAATCGTGAGACACTTGACCACACAGCTCACAGTCGCTCGCTAGATCACGGGACTCGCCTTTTTTCCTACACTTACAAATCATGACACACAATGGTGACTCAATTAACACTGACTGTCTACCGTCTGGTACGTGTAGCGACAAGTCATGTGCTGGCACCCACACACGCTAACGTACCAACATATAGGAAAACAACGCAGCAACACAACGCAACTGAACGGAGCTACGCACGTCGCCGAACTCGCAATCTAGCCGCTTAGGAATTACGGCGCGCCACTCATGGACGGTCTTCTTCGCTGCAACAGCGAAAAGACATCCAAAAACAACCTATGGGTATATTTGGGGAATATCATCATAACTTTCTTGGGATATGCACAGTTCAACAACTCATACATGTGTCGAGTACCTAAGTTGACCTACCATTCACTAAAATGCCCTTCATTGGCCTCGCTGACCTCACTCAACCTTCTTATGGATGCCTGCGTAACTTTCTCCAATATGAGGTTGGTGGTAACTCCGCATTTTAGTTTCCACATATTTAGAAGTGAACGTAAGTACATACCCGAGAATTTCTATACCCAGTAACCTATTAAAATCCGGAGCTTTCCGTTACCTTCATCTTACCTAATCATACTTTTGTGCTATACGTGACCGTCAGCGTGGATGATAGTGCATTGTGATGAGATTTCGGGACCAGAAAGCAAGAGAAGCACCATACTGGTCCAAGTCCGATGGAGGAGTTAAATTTTTCCATGACTGCTGGTTCCCCACCAGATTAATGCTGAGGCTCAATGAATTGTTTAACTACGACCTCAGCCGGAACTTTAGAGCTTGAGATTGTATTTCGCATACTTATAGAGCGATGAAAGCATGCGGATAGGTAGGCGAACTCATTCGGAAGTGAGATGACGCAGTTTTTAGAGCGCGAATTTACTGACCAGCTGGTCTGTGGTTCGAACCCATCCTCTGCCTTCCCCTCTTCCCCCTGGTAGTATCCCAGCTCTCGTGCTTCCTTGTGGTAGAATGGCAGTTGGTCATCGAACGGGTGCTGCAACTGATTGACTTGAAAGACACCGGAAGCGGATGCATTCAAAACGATGTGGCTTCCCAACGCTGAACTGGATCTTTCGGACGCGCCCATAGGACAAGCCTTAAGTCGATTGGTTTCGAAGTGTTCACTGAAAGCTGCCACTTTGAAGTGGTGGTCGGGCTTGCATGCCGCCATGATCCTGGTGGCTACATTGGCTGGAGCTTCATTCCACAAGGTGCAACCTTTCCAGGAAGGCCAAAGGAGGGTAGTCAGACCGAGAGTAGCGAGACCCCGAACTGCAAGCAATCGTGCTACGAGGCGATCTGGGGGTAAATTCGTGTTGTCCCTGCTTTAGGAGTGTCAATGTTGTAAAATGTTTTCCCAGACTACCGGCATGTCCATATTCATAGCAGCAGCTACGCTACCTTCCCCCGACGTTGAATGGGTTAGTAAGATTCGGCCTTAAAGGCCGCATACTGCAATTGAATCATTCAATACAATCGTAATACTTTTAAAAGCGGTACTGCTTAAGAGGCACCTGCTGTGCGCAACCGCACCAGCAGTGAGACAGTAATGTCTTACTTCTTGTGCCCTCGGGTTGGGCCGAAACCTCACAGCCTCGCAGTTCAAACTGTCAAGTCATCGGATCCGGGAAGTGCCCATAAAGAAAACTATACTGCCCACTGACTCGCGAGTCAGACTTTTGAGTCAGGATAAGGTAAGGGTCCCTAAACAAAGCCCTACATCATCTCACTGCCTTGTTGGCTGGACGTTTGACTCAAATGCTCGAGTTGGGCTACCTCAACCCTTCCTCGGCCTGAGCAGCCGGAATGTATCATTTGCCCACACAGTCCTTTCTCCATCGATGTTCCTCTCCAACTCATGTCCACCACGCAAGCAAACGTTGCTGGGTCATTTGATTGTCGATTATCTCACCAATGTGCTTTACGCACATTGCTTTAGCACCCTGCTTAATCCACGAGAACCTCCCTACATAAGGATTTCTAAAGTCCGTAATTAGTGTCAAATTGGAAAACAGGTGGTGCTGGATGAAACTTCGTACTCTCTTAAAATTGATGTATGCTGTGTCTGCGAAATACGCGTGTTTCTCCATTTCAGAACATCAAGGACGATCTCAACTCTGTCACATTCCTCTCCGTGTGTCCGATGGTGGAGAAGTGATGTCTCCTAAAGCATATGTCGTGGGAGTTGCATTCAACCTTAAAGGTGAACACGTTTTGCTGGATTAAATCCCAGTGAAGAGTCGTCTTTGCGCCGTCCGGTTATCCAACTCAATCAAGCTTACTGCTTTTCGACGTAAAAACTGTGTCGGTGTGTAGTGTCGGCTTATTCCCCAAAGAACTGCAGTTCTGACGCTGAGGAGGTTACTTTTACTCGAAAGTTCTCAGGGCTCACTCATCAAGCAAGGAGCCTTGACACTGTGATCCTTGTGGACGAGGTGAATGACCAAGTTGCTCGTCTGAGCTCGTGGGTCGTCTCACAGACAACGGAGAGTGACCCCTCCAGTTGTTTGCTAACCCTGCACTGCTTCTGACCAGTACGAACTTCCGGCATATTTGTTCAAATCGCGTAACCTGACGGCCACTAGCTGCAGGTCAACCGTGCTCCCAGTTGGATCACGTGGCCGTCAGCCACCGGTAAGGAGTCACATACTAAGAGTACCATTTCTCCTGGGGTACACACCTTGATTCTGATGACACTATGGTTCGTGCACGCTGGACAATTCGTTTCCTTTCGGGCCCCCAAGTCAGCAAGAGACACTTAAATCCACCATCGTCAAAGAATTTCCATAGCCTAAAAGTATCGATGTAGGCTAGCTCAACAACTCTCTGCGATAAGTCAATACTGTGTTGGTAGCGATACATGGAAGAAGCATGGCAAAATGTGAAAAGGGCTATGCTAGTGGCGTTCGATGCTGCTTATCTGACTTCTGCGATTCGACCACAAGGTCAATGGATATCATTGAGATTGCTAGACCTGATTGGTGCCAGAAGATCTGTAACAGAAGGCGACGAATACCACGGCGCACACAAATCCCTCAAACGCCAAATGGTATAGAGCCGAAGGAAAGTCCGAGAACGTTGGTGGACACTGAAAGCTCGGGAGGTGGAGAAAGCTTTTGCTACCGGAAACATCCGTGCCTTATATCAACCGATACGATCGACTGGCCCTATGACAACAACGGTCAGTGAGATGGAACAAATGATTAGAGCGCGCATTTACTGACCGGAAGGTCCGTGGTTTGAACCTGACCTCTGCCCCTCGACTCCTTCTGTCTAGGCTTGGGCAATCTGGCAGTATCCCAGCCCTCGTGCTTCCCTCGGGTAGCATGGCAGCTAGGGACCGAAAAGATGTTGCAGCTGAACAGTCTTTATTAGTTTTTTAAACGGTCAGTGAAGCGATAAGTGAAAAAAAGCTTGCGGGTGCGATATGGAGTGAAGAGGAAGCGCCTGCAGCATGAGGCGTGTCAACAGTGGGGACGCTGTGTGAAGACCACCATGGCCCCGACGGTCTGTCGAAAGATGCTATTTCCATCCGGATAGGGAATGTCAGATCAGCTTTCGTGAACCTGCATCACCTATGGCGTACGCGTGATATAAATTTATCCACCAAGGGTCGAGTTTACAATACTGCGGTGCACTCCGTGTTATTATACTGACCAAACTTGGCCGCTGCGCAGTAAGGACGTCAAAAGACTTCCAGTGTTTGGCCGTCGATGTCTTCGGAGCATTGCCCGAATCTGATGGGAACACCGGATCAGTAATGCTGGAGTACGTTGAATGGTTTTCGGAAGAAATTGCTCACCCACGATAGGTCAATTATATCAGCTACCGCCCCAATGCACAGCTCCCTCTTCCCCTCTGATGGGAACACCGGATCAGTAATGCTGGAGTACGTTGAATGGTTTTCGGAAGAAATTGCTCACCCACGATAGGTCAATTATATCAGCTACCGCCCCAATGCACAGCTACCTCCCTCTTCCCCAAACTCATCGGTGAACGAAATTGTGGCAGCTGTAACAACTGGACGACAAGTACGCTGCTGTTACACCTGCTACTGCTGCTGCTGATGATGATGAGAGCGTGCATGGACAAGGCAACTGCGGGTCCATTTGTGGAGATCTCTGTTGATGTTTGATGTCGGGAAGTTTCGTATAACTAACCGAGTAGATGCATGGGTTGTGTCATGTGCAGAACGTCAAACACTTCACTGGACACTGCCTGGAACCACTGAACGTGACAGTGCGAGGGGCACTCGTTTTTCTGGCGTGCTATGGGCTCCATATACAGGGACGCATCACGTTGTAATATTGCCATCTGCACCAATCCAATTTGTGGTTGATCACTTCTGTCATTGATGCATGACAATCTATCTACGGTGGGATTATCGAAGCCGGAGATGTCATGTGCAAACGGCGATACGTATTCCAGTTGTATCTCCCGAGGTATGAAATTGTCTCCCGATTGAGCACTAGAAATATCCATAACGGTCGCACGGATGCGAAGCCTTTGAGGCGCTACCGAAGAGCTCCGCCTGCGATTACACCCGAATCACCAATGATGGCGCTGCTAGTTTTTGGCGATAATTTTGAGGTACTACGGGTGACATCAACGGCCAAGGTCTCTTTCGGGTTTATTACAAGCAAGTTTCGCTGGTGTGTGGTGGGTGTGCAACATTGAGTGAATCGACGGTAGCCTGGGAAACCGCCTCAGTTGAGTTCCGATAACAGGCACTAGAATCTCATCAACAGTGACAACTTTATTCTCTGTGGGTTCAGTACCGGAGGAGTTAATCGTATTGCCAAAAAAGGACAGTGAAATACAGTGATTCGAAAATAACACTGATGTTAATGAGAGTTTCAACTAACTCTGTCGTTTATGGTATCCCTCAACTCATCGCATCTAACACATTGCCGTGATCCTTTTAAGTTCCTTATCTCTGGTGAACGAAGCCGTACCAGCTGAAACCACTGTATTTTGGTACATGGTTTGTAGCAAAGAAAGTCGAACTGAACTACCTAAACCCTCAGCTGCCTCGGAGGTCGGAGACCCTACTGGCCTAAAGTACCCGGAGATGCAATGCCGCTTGGTTTAAAGTCCATAAAGTAATTTGTTTCACCTAACAATCAGTCCTGGTTTGTGCTCTACATCAAAGTGCAACGCTCTGCTTTGGGGTCGGACGGATATACCACCCAATCTAGACATTCCACTCCATGTTTTAGAATCATGTGCTAGATGCGCCTATTCGGTTAGCTGTGCCGCTTCTGCTGGGAGTGTTGCCGTTAGGACTGAACGCCAGATCCCGAAGGTCTCATTCGTTTTCCATCAAACTTAATAACTTTTTGCGATAGTATAATATCCTACCAGAAAAGTGTAGAGTACTGCACTACGGTCGGTGCTTTGAAGTGGGGTGTGAAACTCGAAACTAAGCAGAAATTTGAAGACAGTCTTTTTATCATCGATTACTGCAGCTCTGTGCACTTGTTATGGGAGCACTTAATTTTTTACACTGAAGTACATCGCACGGTGTGTAGTGAGCAATGTGATAGACGTTTGAATGATGATTTGGTAAAATACACGCATCCGCGAAGACCGTTCGTCAATTGAGAATTTGGATAGAAGAAAGCAGTAACTTAGTGAACTGACGTGGCAAAGAACTTCTACAACCCTTACCAAAGGTCTTAGCCGTACTTTTCAATTCCGTCTGCCAGAGTGGGAGCTGGTGGCGTTCAGACACTTGGGCGGCTAGGACTATTTCACCACCATGGATGGTTCAGGGTTTAAAAAGCATCCGTAGAGTTTAAGACCCTGTACGTCTCCTATTTTGGACTGCAGTTGAATGGGATTTCAGAAGCAGACACTGTATACTAGCGTAAATAACCATTTCCTATCGTATAGATTTGGTCCTTCTGGACAAGCTACGTCCAGATCATCTTGGGCATGAACTGTCGGTGGGCCCACATTCGCTTCAGACAAACTTGTCGTAATTGGTATTGCACATCCTGGACGCAAGATGGTGTCCGATGTGACTTGTCTCTGCCTCAGTTTCTGTGGTCTCAGTATGTGTTATATTGATCCAGGAAAATTATCACTTGGAACGTGCTTTGTCTGCAGTTCACAGTTCTGTGTTTGTGGTTTTACGGCGAGTATTTTTCACCTTTTTCAGCTAGCATGAAATGCAGGCATTCAAGAAGGTAATCGGTTTTGCTGCTCTTTCAATCCCTTCCCATCAACTAGAGCACACAGCTAACTGGATTGGCAGTGTCAAAGAATCCACATGCAGTCTGTTTTCAAACTATATCTGACTGTCACTTTAGATACTCAAAGCACTCTATAATCGTATCCTTAAGGTCGTGGCTCTGATGCCCGAAGAAGCCGCCTATCGGAAACACACAACCGCTGTTGTCCAGTCTCGACTTCAGGCAGTCTCGACGGTTTGTTGTTTCTTGTTTCTCAATTCGCTCCCATGGTAGATTCAAGATATTAACAAGCTCGAAGAGGCCATAGATTGTGGTCAAATCGAAGAGGTGATCGTACAGGTAAGACAGTTAGCCGATAACTTTTAATGTGTTGGATCACATCAGTAGGGCTCCTCTAAAACCATCCACAATAGGTCGCCAGTCCATATACATGTGATCATCATCATCATCATTGTCAGCTGTAAGAACCGCGTACTGGTCGTACACTGGTTGTAGCTGCCAGAGTTTCGTTCACCGATGATTTGGGGGGGAGGGAGTAGGTAGCTGCGCATTGCACGCGCGAGCTGGTAAATTGGTACATAAATCCAGCACTGTCAGTGGGTTGTCAAGCGGGGGGGGGGGGGGGGGAAAAGGAGCTAGGCATTGAAGGCAATAGCTTGGATGCACGAGCGCCACTGAGGGCGCGACTGGGCCATGTCTGATAATGTCTCTAGCCATTGATGTGGCCCGTCTCGGGGTCCCCATCCAGGAAGACGGCAGTGACCAGCGCAGCTGAGTTTGCTGGTAATGGCCTTCATACTTCGCTGCCAAGTCATTGTTTGACCGCCTCTGGCTCTCTTCCACCCTTCACATGGTTGGGCGAAAAGAGCCCTTCGAGGAAGTCGGTCGACTGGCATACGCAGCACGTGGCCAAGCCAACGCAACCTGTGCAGTGTGATCAATTCATCTATCGAGGGTGAGTTATTTCTCCCGAATACCATTCGACGTACTTCAGAATTGCTGATCCGGTGTTCCCACCAGATTCGGGCAATGCTCCGAAGACATCGATGGTCAAACACTGAAAGTCTTTTGACGTCCTCGGCGCGCAGCGGCCAGGTTTCTGATCCATATAGTAATATGGAGCGCACCGCAGCATTGTAAACTCGACCCTTGACAGAGAAACTGATGTCACGCCTACGCCACAGGTGACGTAGGTTCGCAAAAGCTGCTCTGGCCTTCCCAATACGGATGGAAATATCATCTTTCGCGAGACCACCGGGACTGATACAGCTGCCCAGGTAAACAAATTTGTCTACTACCTCAATCGGTTCGTCCGCAAGCATGAGACTAGGGTTCGAGCCCACCCAGTCTTGCAGTAGCACTTTACACTTTGCTGGTGTGAAGCGCATACCAAACCGCGAGGCAGAATTACTTAGATTATTTAGTATTGTTTGCAAAGCCACTGGGTCAGATCCTAGAAGAGCTATGTCGTCTGCGTACTCGATGTCTGTGAGCGGAGGCCCAGGGAGCACCTCGACCCCACAGGCATTAGAGGCTGGTAGTGAGTCTTCCATGATCGTATCAATGACGAAGTTAAAGAGGAAAGGTGAAAGAGGACAACCCTGTCGGACGCCATTTGATGTGGTGAACTCAGGAGAAAGCTTCCCGTAGACCTTTACACGACCGCGGGTGTTGGCATACAGCGCCTTAATGAGGTTCAAGAATTTATGAGGGACACCTCTGCTCCGTTTGGGATGCCTTGTTCATCTGTATACGCCGCATTGGTCGCATTAGTAACTGACACATAACGAATCAGTAGTTAATGGTTACCCGGCAGCATTGCTAGTTGTAGTTTCATCTTGCAAGTAGATTCAGTCCATGCTGAAAAGCGTTGCGCTTGTCACGGAATTTTACGAAAATCCTCGTTGCAACTTATGTTGAGTGGGTGGGAAATGGGAGACCACTTGTATTTGCAGTCAGATTTTAATACAGCTGAATTATTAACTCAATACGACAGGGTTACCAAATGTAACTCAGCTGAGCGTGGATGAAGTAATCGATGCAACAAACGGATCGGTAGGCATTAGGCCTGATGGTTGGATTGAGTAACACTCCAGCCAACCGTCAGTGGTACTTGAAAAATTTCGGAACTGATTACTTCTGGCAAGAGTTTGTACCGAGCCACAATTAATTGGTAAACAAACTGGAGACTCGAGTTTGGATTTCAACACCATTTGCAAATTAAAATTTTTTTATGGGTGGTTGGATTGAGTAACACTCCAGCCAACCATAAAGCGACAGAATACAATTTATCCCAAGAGCCTCGTTACAACTGGTGTGAAGCTGATTCTCTGCGATTACCACACCTACTATGGGCCTTTTTTGAGAACGAGAATTGTCAGTAGCAGGTAGCCACGAGAACTTTTGTTCAAAGTGCTCTACCAAGCATCCTTTTTCATTGCGGATGGTAGCGCCACTGACCCTTGATATTTTCGCTCACAGGCCTTTATAGGGTACCGGCTGTGCCCCGAAGTACTCTGTGATCCCCGGCTTTGTGCGCCTCCTCGATTTCCACCAGGTTTCATGGTCGGTACGCATGCCAATTTTGAGGTGTTCGATAGTTCGTCGGGCTCAATTATGTTTGTGGCCAGCGGGGACGTTTCTCAGTTATTCAAGCAGTGCTGTTCTGTTTGAAATCCAATGATTTAGCGAACCTGGTAACGCCGTGGCACAGACAAAACTTCCGGTTTATGCAAGGGTTTGGCGGTTTCGTTCTATCACGCATTCACATTCGCCAGTGGAGCGTTTGAAGGAGATCCCAGAAGATGAGTCAAATACATTCATCTAACTTCCGTATCCTCCACCCTCTAAACTGCTAGGCAATTTGTTCGTTTCTTACGCGGACCTGGTGAAAGAAGAGAGAGGCGAATTCGGGCGAGCGCATGACCGAAATCCGCTTAAGTATTCCCAAACGAACGGCAGTCACTTATTGATCCACGCCATCGATAACTGATGGTGATGTGATCACTTTGAGTGCTTGGCTGCCGCGCTGTTCGAAGGTATCATGAGACCACCTGAGTTAAGTTAGTGCGCATCTAGTATTTCATGTCTTCCTGTTGGTTATAGCTTGTGGAACAAAGTTCCAAGCGCAGTAGTTCGCGGGACCATAGCAGCGCTCAACTCCGATCAACGTGCAAAGTGACAGCTTTAGATCGAATAGGGCCGAACTCACCTGAACTTGATTATTCTTTCGGAGATAGCGAAGCCTTGGGATTGTGGGTTCGCTCTTCACTCAGATAAGGACGACGATAATTCGCAGGTATGAGTGCACAGGTTACGAGAGATGTCATGTTGTTCTGTCTGGCTTCCACGGTAGCTAATTTGCAGGATAGCGTCCCTGATAGTGTTGCTATAGCGCTGAGGACTGAGAATTTTAGGTGCGTGCCTGATCCGCACCTGCGGTTAGATTCCATACCTGGAAGCGCGAGTAGGGTCCAGTGGGGTTTATCTTAGACTCCTTTGCAAACCCCCTTGGTCCGCTGTTAACGCGGGATTAGAGTGACATGGGCATCCGTGTCTTAGGTTTTTATCAACTCGGATGTGCATCTGGATAAATTTGTGGGACGCACTGATGGTTAGTGACACTGGAAGCCATGGCTGACTCGCGCAGTCCGTGGTGCTCGTGCATCAAAACTATTGCCTTCATCGTGTAGCTGCCCACTTCCCCGTACTGACTTATCCTACCACTGCCTCCAATGAATGGCCCAATCTTCCAGGCTGCCCTACTTTCCGGTGCCTGAAACTGTAGTGGCTGGTACCAGCATATCTTTGGTAAGTTGGTTATAGCCTACAAACCGAGTTGAACTGAACACTATGTTTCTGTCCCAACGATAGAGATGTTCTAAGTCTAGCTTGCCGAACTAGCCGAATTCAAGGTAGCTCAGTGGTTAGGGTGGGAACCTAAGGACCGTAAGGTCCGTGGTTTTGATCCAATCTCGGAATTCCGGCCGCTCCTGTCTAGGCTTGGACAACTTCAGAGTACCTCGGTTCTCGAGATTTCTTTGGATGGCGTGGCAGCTAGGCACCGAAAGAGTGTCACATTTAAAGGGCCGAAATATATTGTTAGCCACCCCCAATAGTACCGTGAAGTATTGATAATACTTGTCACACCCTATGGGATTTGAAAAACCTAGCTTATTATCGCGCACAGTCTCATAAACCAATAAATTCTACGAAAACGTTCGAATGTTTTGCAGGACTCTTCTGCACTACTAGCTTTCTGGTCAGTAAATTGGCGATCTTACCACTAAGCCATCTCGCCCCCTGCCAAGGCTGAGCACGACAGTGGAATGATAACCGGGCACTGAAGGCCGTAGCCTTGTCAGTCTCTCGTCTCCCTTGTGAAGACATTCATGCATTAAAGTAAATTCATTCAATGAAGGAGCTTCCGTTATCTCGCTCCGTGCTATGCATTCGAAGAGATGTCAGTTGTCTTCTGCTCGGGTGAGCTTGCTGGGTGCATGTTCGTAATTCATTGTGGTTTTCATTCGCATTTATTTACGAAACAACCTCTTTTTCTCTGAAATGGCTTCAAACATCTATTAAGGTATATGACATAACTCAGCAAAGCTGTACATGTTTACAGTTTCACCAGACTGGAGCACTGGTAATGCACGACCAAACAGTCGTGTTAAATTTTTCAGAGTCCAATATTAAAGGAAGGATGGGTGAACTAGAGAAATCGCGTGTTAGGTAGCGCACCCAGACGATCTGGGTAGTAATTGTCAATGTGAACACCTGGTAAATGGTGAATCACATAGGTCTCATCCTAAAAGACAGATCTCATCGATGACATATTTTTGTGTGATTGTTCCTTTTTATTCTGTGGGTTCATATTCTGTCTTCTTCCAGGCTTCCGCCACGCCCCTTACAATCCAGGGAGAGGTACTGGAAGTTGTGGAGCGTTTTACGTACCTTGGAAGTTGTATTAGTTCTGATTGCAGTGTGACAGATGAGGTGAATGCACGAATCTGCGAGGCTCGGGCCGCGTTTGCTAACTTGCGACACCTATGGCGTCAGAATGGTTTATCTCTGAATCTGAAGGGACGTGTGTATCAAGCTACAGTACGGGCTGTTTTGTTGTATGGCTGTGAGACTTGGCCTATTCGAGCAGCGGACCTGAGACGTCTTCAGGTTTTCGACAATCGTTGTCTCAGAACCATAACTCGTTTGGGTTGGTGTCAGCGAATCCGTAACGAGGTAGTTAGAAAGCGTGTTTTCGGTTGTGTAACGGGTACTTCCATTGAAGAATGTGTCCAGCACCAGAAGCTGCGTTGGTTGGGACATGTTTTACGCATGCCGAACCATCGTTTGCCGAAGAGAGTACTGTTTTCCATGCCCAATTCGGAGTGGCGTAAACAGAGAGGTGGCCAACCCATGACCTGGCAGAGGAGTATGAAGGAGATCACGAAACGCTTGGGTGCTGTCGGTGCTACTCGCCTTCCAGGATGGGGACCGCGTGATCCTCGCTGTGCCTGGTTAGAGACACTACAAGATATGGCTGCCAACCGATGTCAGTGGCGTTCTTGTTGTCAGTTTCTGTCCAGATTGCCTGAGTGAATGTCTGGAGGTGTAGGCACCTCGGAATGATTGTGTTAAGCTAGCACTAAGTCCCTCCCCCATCCACCTTTATTCTTTTCTTTACAATAAGGCTTTTAAATAAGTCATGGCTGTACGGCAGTGAAGCATTGGTGTTGAGCACTGATGTCATGCTGTCGTTGATGATGATGATGATATGGGAGATTCAACTGAATCCCCTCCAGAGGTTTCCGTCACCATCCTAGGTATTATCATGTGAAGGAAAATGCTAGGAAATCTTGAGGATAGTCCAAACCAAAATGTGAGACAGGCTTTGTGCAGCGTGTGTGTGCAGCGGCTACCATAAAAGACATCTTTTATCTTTTCAAATGAGTATCCAATGCCAATTTCGTTCACTTCACTGTCGAAGACTGAAATAGGGTGGCTAAGATTCGGGCACCGGGCTCCGAGCTCCAAAAAGGACAACCGCTACTGGGTTGTCCAAAAGTTTTCGCCAACCTTATAGGTGGCTTCACATGACACAGACCGGAGAGGTTTTATAAAATACTTCACACAACACCTGTCCTTAGCCAGCTGAGGATGCGGAATGAAGGAAAAAATCAAGTTTGGAACGTCTAGGAATCCTAACACCGGTTTCAAATGCAAGTTCATGTGCAGACTAAGTGTGGTTTGCTTGGGTAACAAATAAGGCTCGAGATTGCTTATTGGTAAGGCGCGAGCTTACTAACCGGAAGTTAGTTGCTTGTAAACCAACCTCTGCATTTCGACTGCTTCTGTCTAAAATTTGGCAGCCTAGCAATATCTCAGCCCGCATGCTTCTTGTGGGTGGTATGGCGTTTATGCACCGAAATGGTGTTACAGCTGAACGATAATTAATTTAATAACAGTGGTTAATGGAAGAGCGACTGGGTCGCAGTGTGCATCGAACCAATATGAAGTTCAGTATGCTGGACGTTATTTAGCTGACCGTTGCCTACGGTCGGTAAAAGGTTGGATTTCAGTTAAGAAGAGCCTGCCAAACAACTAAAGTTTGCATGTCATCCATATCGGATGACTTGAAAGCGTTATTTAGTTGGCAGGTTCTTCTAGCGCACCTATCCGGTCTACCTATGTTTCCAGTGCCCCGAATCCGGTCACTCAACCCTTCTGCTATTGGCCGCTGATAATCAGTATGACAATACACCTCGCCTGTCATCCCCCAATCATGCATTCAAACCGCTTGGTCTGCTGCTGACTTACTTATCAGTTGGGTTCCACTCGCATGATGAATTCCACATTCGAAGCCTCGCAATTTTCCTGCCGCCTGTAAACCACCAACCTTAAAGACATGTATCTTGTTTTCTTCCGAGGGTCGATATTAGGTCTTCTCTCCGATCCCTTTCGCCCGTATTACGGATAAGTTTCGAGCAGTGACAATGTGTGTGTGCATTATATATATATATATATAT